ACCCCCCCCCCCCGGCCCCAGACGCGCCCCCCCCCCCCAGAAGAACACACGTGGTCTTTTTGGTAGGAGACTTTCTCTTAGCGCATGTAACCCTACCGCCGAGGTTCCCGGTGTAAATGCCGAGCCGATGCCAGCAGGAGTGATTCTCACACAGGCACGTGGTTTAGTCCTCGTGCAGGTCTGGCTCTGTGCTGAGCGTGTTTGGTATTCAAGGGCAGCCGGCAGCCGTGGCATTCCGCACGCCACACCTAACCAGACTGAGGCTCTGGGCTTCGGGCTTGGCGGACACCAATGGCTGGTGAGAAGGAGCGGGGCCCAGTAGCACCCAGCTGACCACGCAGCCTGTCCTGCTTCTGCACCTGGGCAGGCCTGAGGCTGGTCTGTCGTGGTGGGGAGAGGTGGCCACCCACAGGCAGACGTCACATGACCTCTTGGCACCCAGCAGGAAAGCTGCGTACCTTCCAGCTGCTTCTGCTCTCCCTCAGCCTCTGGCAACCGCTGCCCTAGGTGGGTGGGACTGAAACCAACTAGCGAACAAAACTGCCTAAGGAGCTGCAGTGTGAGACAGGAAGGCCCAGAGCATGCGCTGGAGGGGCAGGAGCCTGGGCAGGGTGCCCACGTTCACCCCTGGCCTGCTCAGCCTGGAAGCGGCCTGCCTGCTGCACCCGTGGGCTCACCTCTGTAGCCCCCAGGGCCCTGAGAACTCGGCTTGAACCTCTCAGAGTGAGAAGGCAGGTCATTCTTGGTCCTTCATCAAGCTGTGGCTCTAGGGGCTCCCGCACTTGAGGCCACCTCGATTCTGTGGCTCTGAGACACTGGCATGAGGCCAGTGCTCCCTGGGGTGGCCAGGTCTTGGCAGGAGTGCAAGGGACAGCCTGGCCTGCAGGCTGCATGGCCCACTTACGCTCTCTCCCCCAGAGCGCCGGGAAGTCTCCAGAGATGGCATGAGCTGGGCTCTGCTGGACCTGCCCGCGGTGTCCTACCTGGACTCTGGGGACTACGTCTGCCAGGCCAAGAACTTCCTGGGGGCCGCTGAGACCCTCATCTCCCTGACTGTCACTGAGCCCCAGACTTCCGGAGAGCTCAGCGGGAGCCCCGAGGCGCTCTGGGCCCGGACAGGCGAGGGGGGCGCAGCCGCTGCCCACCACAAGCCTGCGGGCACCGGCGAGGCGCGGGCCGGCCGCACTGCCCACCGGGCCTGCTGTGCCCCGCGCCGAGGAGGGGCCGGCCCTGCAGCTCTTCCAGATGGATGTGCCGGGCCCGGAGCCAAACGGGCAGGCGGGCCCCCAGGAGGGCCGGACGGTGCGGTCCCTCAAGGTGGTGGGGGACACTTACCACAGCGCGACGCTGGCGTGGAAGGTGCCCCAGGCCGCGAACGCCACAGCCCTCAGCGTGCTCTATGGCGTCTTCGGGCAGCGCAGCCTGCGGCGTGTGAACGTGCGGCCCGGAAAGACGAGGATCACCCTGGACGGGTTGGCGCCCAAGACCAAGTACGTGGCGTGCGTGTGCGCGCGGGGCCTGCTGCCCCGCAAGGAGCAGTGCGTCATCTTCTCCACCGACGAGGTGGTGGACGCTGGCCACACGCAGCAGCTCATCAACGTGGTGGGGGTGAGCGTGGCCGCGGTCATCGCCGTGCCGCTCACGCTGCTCGTCTGCTGCAGTGCCCTGCGGAGGCGCTGCCGCCGGCACCGCACCCGGGGCTCCGGGGCGGCCCACGGGCACGTCAGTCTGGAGAGGCTGGGCCGCAGCCAGGACCGCCTGGAGGTGCTGACCCCGCACAGCCTCAGCGAGGTCGACAGGCTCCTCTCGGCCCGGTCCAGCATGGACTCGCAGGCGCCGGGGGTCAGCGGGGCCCGGCGCATCGTGCAGGGCAGGCCGATCAATGAGTACTTCTGCTGAGCAGCCATCCTCCACTTGCGCCTGCCCGCGCTCTCCCTCCGCGACCATCCGTGCTCCTCACGCATGGGCGCATGCTCGCCGGTCCTTCCTTGCGTGGGCACCTGCGAACGCTGACACACAGCCCAGTTACCAAGCACTTGCTGCGTGCCAGGGAGTGTCTAAGTGCTTTATATGCATGAACCCGTTTAATTCTCACAGCCATTTGCAGCAGCCACTGCTCTTCTCGCCAAGAAAATGGGGGCTGAGTAACTTGCCTGTATCAGTCAGTTTTTGCTGTGTAACAAATAAAAAGCACAATCACAACGGTACACAACACACACTTATTTTAACACTCTTGGGTGTGTGGGCTGCAGCGTCCCTGCTCTGTGCATCCCACTTAGGGCCAGGGTTGGAGAGTGGCAAGGGCTGCTGGAGGCTTCTCTCATGGTGGGTCAGATGGTATCAGAGGAATGAGCGAAATCATGTGAGGCCTCTTAAGCTCTTAGTCCAGGACTGGCACCCTGCCACCTCTGCCCATTTTGTACCTGCCAAAGCACGTCTCATGGCCAAACCCAACTTCAAGAGGGCAGACAAGGACATTTCTCCCATGGAGGCGATGGAGAGGGCAGGAAATATTTGCCGAGAAGTGGGCTGATCTACCACATGGCCTGCAAGAGCACGGCTGGGCGGCGGGGCTGCTCTGTGGCCAGCGCCATCCTCACTCTCCTGTCCTGCATGCTGACTGCATCCATGCTAAGGCATAGCACCCACACAGTGCTCTGTGCATTAGCGTGTGCTCCGTCTCTGTCTCTGTCTCTCTCACACACACAGTGGCCTCACTGAATTCTAGCACTTGTTCTCTGAGTGCTTTTCCGCCTGGAGAAAATCATTTGGTTTTCAGTAAAGTCCAGCGGTGTGGATGCCGCCCAAGGGACCACTGCCCATTTGCCCTGAGTATCAGGCTGAGGAATCTGAGACCCTACCTGGAGAGTGCCAGCACACCCTCGGCTGCCCGGCACCCTGCGCACCCTGGAGCAACCTGTGATCCTTGCCCAGGCTTACCTGGGCTCCTGACGGTGTCGCTCAGCAAGCCACTTCAGAAGAGGACTCCTGTCCATGTGCTGGGAAGCCACGGAGATGTGGTCTCTGCACAGGAGAAGGGAATGTTCCAGCAGAAGGCTCGGTCCGTTCCTTGTCTACAGGGCTGAGCTCGCAGAGGGGAGCACCAGGCTGCTGCTGCCTCGGAGTGCAACAAGGACACTGGGGACAAAGAGTGGTCCAAGGAAACGGTTTTGCTAGTGCTGCATGAGAGGTCCACGCCACGTTGGACATTTATCAGACAGAAGCCAGCGTGACACCGTGATTTCTAATCTATCGTCCCCCATTTAGACTCTGCCCCCCGTGTTCTCATGACGCGCTGATGTTCACGACAACTGCCGGGGCTGGGCCACTGGACTTCACAGGAGGGAATGCTGGGGGCTGAAAATCGACGCCTTGCCAGGGCGATGGCTCTCTTGGAATCCAGCTCCTGGGCAACTTTGTGCCAGGCCGAGTCTCCATGCAGCACTGACTTCCGCAATGCAGTCCTCCCCTGGTCCTTTCTAGAAACGGCACTTTCTTCTCATTTTCTTTATTGAGCCTCCGAGACCTGGCATCAGAACCGTGCACACGGGCGTGGCGGTTCTCTGCTGGACGTTTTCCACCATCACCTGGAGGGAGCGTCTCGCACCTGTGGGCTGCAGGAGGACTTACTGGCTGAAAGGTGGTGATGACACTGAGTCCATCGAGGTCAGCACATTTCTAAAGGAATGGCAGAGAGTCCACATTGTACGCTCTGTTACTGCTACTCAGCTCTGAGGATGGGGTGCAGAGGCAGCTACAGACAGTAGATAAGTTAATGGGCCTGGATGTGTTCCAGTAAAATGTCATTCACAAAAAGAGGTGGTGGGAACCAGCAGTTAGCATTACGTAATGGCTATGGACTCTCACAGAGCCGACCGCGGTTCGCATCCCGGACCCGGTGGCTTAAAACTCATGCCGGGCGCATGTGTGTGCGTGCCCAAGATCCCGAGAGGAGAATGGAGGAGAAGGGATTGCAGCTTGACCATCCCCCCTGGGGGGTGATTTCTCGCTTTCTGTCTCTATGTCTCTCTCTGTCTGTCTGGCGAGCTCACGCGCCCTATAGCGAAAACCTCTCCAAAAAAGAAAAAAAAAAAAAAAGAACAGGTGGCAGGCTGGACCCGGTCCTGCTGCAGTTGGGCAGACCCTCACCTGGATTTGTAAAGATGTTTCTGCTATGTCTTTGGAGACCTGCATCTCAGTTCTAATCACTTGCTGTACAACTGTGACAGTCACTCCCAAAGTGAGGACAGGGAGCAGTAGGCAAAGGGAGCCGTCTGCTGAAATGACCAGGACAGGGTCTGTGGGCCCGCTGCAGGGTGCAGGTGCAGTGTGCTGCTCTGCAGGGCTGGCACTGTCTGGCCGGCCACGGCACAGATCCTGCGTGGCCTGAATCTCTTCGGGCATGTGTGCGACCACAGTCTTGACTGGCTGGAGGGCTCGGGGTTTGGGGCATGACGGGACCTTATTGGGGTTCCTCTCTCTCTCTCATCTTTTCGGAAATAAATAAACTAGGACTGGCCCCGTAGCTCAGTGGTCAGATGCTGTCAGAGGAAGCCAGATCCCATGTGGCCTACCTGGGCTTGAGTCGCAGCTCTGTTAGCTTGAAAAAACACGCCATGGTTATGTGTGTGCCCAGGGCCCTGACGGGATGGAGAACTGAAAGAAGAGGGTTACGGCGTGGCCAGTCCCCATTGGCATGCTTCCTTCCTCCTCCTCTTCTTCTCACCCGTTCTCTCTCTCTCTCTTACTCTCTCTCATGCACATACCTTCTGGAATAAAAAAAAGAAATAAAGTTAAATAAAGATTGTCTTCAAATGATTGTCTGAGCAATTATTTGGCTAAAGACAACTAATATCCAGCCATGAAACTGGTTTGGAGAAAATCAGGAACTTGAAAGCAAGGAAGAGTTTGTCAATATTTATCCAGAACTGATAAATATTGTGGTGGGGGAGGTGGGGAGGGAGGGAGGCAGAGGGAGAGGAGGGTGTAGGAGGGTGTAGTGCTGAGAGATCGGGCTTCCCAGAGACTCACTAGGGTCTCTCTGCGGCTGGAGAAGCACCGAGTGGCCACCCTCGCAGGGGCGCCCACAGCACGTGGCCCACAGCACGCAGCCACACAGCACAGGGCGCCCACAGCACGCGGTGCCCCACAGCATGTGGCCCACACAGCACACAGCCCCATAGCACGGGGCGCCCACAGCACGCGGTGCCCACAGCAAGCACATGGCCCACACAGCACATGGCCCACAGCACGCAGCCCACAGCACGCGGCCCGCACAGCACACAGCCCCATAGCACGGGGCGCCCACAGCACGCGGTGCCCACAGCAAGCACATGGCCCACACAGCACATGGCCCACAGCACGCAGCCCACAGCACGCGGCCCGCACAGCACACAGCCCCATAGCACGGGGCGCCCACAGCACGCGGTGCCCACAGCAAGCACATGGCCCACACAGCACATGGCCCACAGCACGCAGCCCACAGCACGCGGCCCGCACAGCACACAGCCCCATAGCACGGGGCGCCCACAGCACGCGGTGCCCACAGCAAGCACATGGCCCACACAGCACATGGCCCACAGCACGCAGCCCACAGCACGCGGCCCGCACAGCACACAGCCCCATAGCACGGGGCGCCCACAGCACGCGGTGCCCACAGCAAGCACATGGCCCACACAGCACATGGCCCACAGCACGCAGCCCACAGCACGCGGCCCGCACAGCACACAGCCCCATAGCACGGGGCGCCCACAGCACGCGGTGCCCACAGCAAGCACATGGCCCACACAGCACATGGCCCACAGCACGCAGCCCACAGCACGCGGCCCGCACAGCACACAGCCCCATAGCACGGGGCGCCCACAGCACGTGGCCCACACAGCACGCGGCCCTGGAAGTCTCGTGTGGAGGTTGGCTGGCCGCGGCGTCTCCTTCGCGTCCTTTTCTGACCGCTGTGGTTCCACCCTTCCTGACCAGGCACAAGGCAGGTCCGATGTCGCTGATCACAGGAGCCTGAGTCGCAGGGTGTGGAAGGAGAATCTCGGGACGCATCCTGGAAGCGGACGTGGGCCAGCCACCTGGACTGCCCACCTAGGCCTCGGCAAGCGCTCCACCCGGGTCAGGAGGTGGACGTGTCTGTCTTAGCTATGACGTAATCGAGTAAAGACAAAACGAACTCACAGGTACTGAGCGTTTTATTTATGTGCGAAGTCACGTGGTCCGGCTTGGTGAGGCTGGTGCTGGTCACAATTCCTACGTTATGGTACCTTTGCCCATAAACATAGATCCCTGCCCTCGCAGAGTGCTCGTCAGTGGGAAACGGGGCTGGAGGGAGGGCTCTGTCACACCTGTGCCCTCGCGGACCCCACCCAGTGCAGGCCACACCTCTGCAGTGTCATTGGTCGCCCCCCAAGGAAGAGGAGACGCTGGGGAACCGGGCTTTTCAGGCACCATTTCCTGTAGCATCTCATTACCAGGACAAAGGCACAGGCCCGCCTGTCTCAAGGGGGCTTGGAAATGTGGTCTTCTGTGGTGGCCGTCCACCACCACCCACAAGAGCACAGGGGACCCAGGCCCACCCAGACATGGCCGACAGCTGAGGCAGGGCTGGAGGGAGCCCTAGCATGAGAATGAAGAGCAGCGTGCCTGCTCCCTGCAGGGCTCCCAGTGAACCGCCCAAACCCCACTGTGGTCGGAGACGTAGGTGACACATCCCGAAGGGATCCGCAGGACACCAACAGTTCTCTCCAAGACGCCGGGCAGCCAGTTACGTCTCCGGTCTCACAAGCACGGCCCTGGCTTTCCCACCACACGGCCCCTACCACGAGCCCTGGGAGCCACGTTCCTAAAGCGCCCTGCAGGAGGGGAGGGGACGGCATGGTCCCAGACCTGCCCCTCTGTGAGAGCTCCTCAGTGTAAGGACTGCACTTCCCCCAACTCATTTAGGGTAAGTAACGTGACGTGAGCTGTCGTTACTGTCCGGCCCCTGTCTTCACCCCATACAGGGACTCTCCATGCCCACTTGACAAAAGGGGGCCACAGGCTGGTGGTCAGGAGAGGAGAGGGGACCGTGAGAGGTGGTCTCCACGATGTCAGAGATCGCGTGTCAGTGGGTGGCTGTCACGAGCTGTCAGCAAACCTGGGTGGAGTTGTCAGAAAGTTGGGGAGAGCTGGGTACCTTGGAAGAGGCCGCAGGGTGGAGGGAGAAAACTGCAGGGAAGGCCTCACTAGGGGTCCGTGACAGCAGAAAGTTAGACCATGTGCTTTCATGGAGCATGACTGAAAACATCTTGGCGAGTCTGGCAGAGGACTCAAGTTAGAATGGCCTGTCAGAGTTGTCCCCTACCAGGCCAGCCTCAGTCCCTGGACATGGGCTACCTCAGGAAGGGTGACCTGGGCCAGGCACTCCTGGTGGCTGAGCAGAGGGGGGATCTGGCAGGACCTTCTCATGTTCACCAAATCTCCATGGCCACTGGATGCTCCTTGTCTGAGTGAGGAGTTAGATTACCTGAGACTCCGGCAAATATATCTGGCTTGGGTGGTAATCAGCTTAGCTGGTGACCCACTTCCCCCTCACTGGTTAGCTCCTAAGCGGATGTTCTTCACGGAGGCCTTTTTGTAGGGTTTAATGTGTACCACGAGTTGTAGGGGAGCCCCCAGCCTGTCAGTGTGCGTCTGAAAGGGCCTTGGTCTCTGGGAGCCTGTCGGTGTGGGAGGTGAATTACTGGGCTTCCATGGTGCACTCCATTTCACATCATCTCAACATTTCCCAAGACCACTCTGAGGCATTTACTAGTATTCTCACCTCAGAGAGGGAACCGAGACTCAGTGCTCCAGGACATTCCAAGGATCTCAAGACTAAGAAGCGTCAGCTAGAGAGAAGCCCCATGGGCAGGGTTTATCACAGCTTGGCTCCTACCTCATTCCTTTCATTTTGTAAGAGTGTAGCTTAGAGCAGAAGACAAATACATACTTGTTCGATGAAAAGTGGCAGATCAAGAATACACAATCACATCTCATTTTAAAATGCAGGTCTTTGGGACCAGTAGTTAGTGTAATGGCTATGTCGTTGAACTCCCATGTAGTCAACCGTAGTTCGAGTCCTAGATAAACTCATGCTGGGCATGTGTGCAAAAACCTCTCTTTTTTGGAGAGTTTTTTTTTTTTTTTTGCTATAGGGCGTGTGTGCTCACCAGAAAGACAGAGAGAGACAGAGAGACAGAAAGAGAGAAATCACCCCCCAGGGAGATGGCCATGCTGCAATCCCTTCTCCTCCATTCTTCTCTAGGGATCTTGGGCATGCACACACATGCGCCCAGCGTGAGTTTAAGTCACCAGGTCCGGGACTCGAATTGCGGTTGACTATGTGGGAGTCCAGCAATATAGACATTATGCCAACTGCTGGTCCCTATTCTTTTCTTCTTCTTCCCTCTTTTCTTCCTCTTTTCTTCTCTTCTTCTTCTTCTTCTCTTAGCAAAAACCTCTCTAAAAAAATGCAGGCCTTTCTTTTTCTGATGTAAAATACACAGCATACAGAAGAAGTTGAGAGGCCCAAGTAACACAAAAAGCTTTGGTTTAACCAGGAACACCACGCTGTGTTGGAAACTGCCTGTGCTGCTCCTCTGGCTCTGGCCTCCCACACTGCAGATGCGCTGGTCTGTGCAGTAGGCACGAGCCTGTGCTACCCTGTGTTGGGAGAGGATGAGTGATAGGCATGCACGCAGTGCCACACTGTCAGGCGTGCATGCAAGGTCACCTCATCACTTGTCACCTGCTTTTGCTTCTGGAAAGTGGTTGGAAGTTTGAGGTTTCAGGAGCCAATTGTGAAGGGTAAAGTATTAGAGGGTTTTGGCTCAATGTCCTGAGCTCTGGCTCCATGGTGTGGGAACACAGCACACACTTGCTCCACAGACTTCTTTCTAAGAGACGGAGGGAGGTAAGGCCAGTCTGGAATTGGACATCTGACTTAGAGTTTAGGACCCAGGTGCCAGAGGACGAGTCTCCTGACCTTAGCCAAGAGACACTGCTTCTTGTTCATGGCTTTGGACTGAGCCTGCGACCTGGGTCACTCGAACCTCTGAGCCTCTGGGCTTGGCAACCACCGAGCTGACCTCCGTCGGTCCAGATACCACTAATGTGCTCTGTCAGAGGCGTGAGCTGTGCTTACTGAAAACTCATGGCAGTTTCTTCTGAAGGAGTGTGGCTTCAGCTTCTCTGTTTCTGCTAGCTCCAGCCTGGGGGACTCAGGAGCAGCTTGGCCTTGCTGTTTGCTGGAACCTGCCAGCTCAGAGGAGCACTTGGTAGGTGCGTGGTTTGGGCTATGCCAGCAGCTTAGAGGGGATGGGCCTTATGGGGCATTAGCAGGTTAGAGGGGATGGGCTTTCTTTAGGGGTGAGGTGGGACTGGAATAGGCCTAGAATTGGCAGGAAATCTGCAAAATCTGAATGAGACTCATCTGAGTTGGTGCCAGACTCCAGAGAGCTGTGTGCTTTTCGCCAAAATGGGCCTAGCTACCCCTTTTATCTCAAGCGAGTAATGTTTTTCCTTTTCAAATCATGAAGCTGTCGCCAGGCTCAGCTTACTCCCGCCTCCCAGTTCCTTGATGTTTGTCTTAAAGCTTCTCTGGTTTCTTGGGCAGGATGGCACAGTGCATGTGTTTCTTTGGGAAAGATCCCAGGGAAGCTTTTGGAAGAGCTTGAGCCAGTGAAAGTTGATTACCCTCCCTCATTTGAACGTCCAGAAGGTCTCCATCGACCTGAGCCCTCTGGGATGCCTCAGGCCCCACTTTAACTATGGCATTGCCCTACATCTGGGAGCCTTGGTGCCTGGCAGAACTGAGCGCGAGACCAGAGGGGCACGAACTCCGGTCAGCACCGTGGACAGCGCCCTGTCCCATACATCCCGCCCAGGGTCTGGGATCTAAACAGACTGATGGACTTCCTGAGCCGGATCTTCAGATTCTACCTGGCCCACCTTGACATACCCTGACAGTTATACCCAACAGAGTCTTCTTCTTCTTTTTTTTTTTTTTGGAGAGGTTTTTGCTATAGGGCGCATGCACTCTCCAGAAAGACAGAGACAGAGAAACACAAAGTGAGAAATCACCCCCCAGGGGGGATAGCCATGCCGCAATCCTTTCTCCTCCCTTCACCTCTCGGGATCTTGGGCATGCACTCACAAGTTTGAGTTTAAGCTGCAGGGTCTGGAACTCAAACCGCGGTCGACTACATGGGAGTCCAGCGACATAGCCATTACACTAACTGCTGGTCCCCAACAGAGTCTTCTTGCATGGGCTGGCTGGTCTGAAAGGCTGATGGCCTGGCAGGGAGGCCAAGCATCTGTCCAGCCCAGCACTGGTGCTGCACGGTAACCTGGGCATGTGACTCTGCACGGTAACCTGGGCATGTGACTTTCAGCTGTGGGGACCTGTCCCATCTACGAAGTATAACAGCCTCCCACTTACCCTGGTGGAGTCCTGCTTGGTGTGCTGGGGCCCTCGCTTCAGGGCAGGACCATGCTGTCACGAAGCTGGGCTTAGTGCTTGCACGAAGCCCATGATCTCAGCCCCCATTGTCATGTCACCATCGGGATGGGACGGCTCAGCCCCTCTTCAGCCACTGCACAGACTTACCTGAGTATGGGGGAGAACTTGATAGCAGCCACATGCACCCTTCTGTTGATACAGCTGTGGAGATGGGGCAGTCACAGCAACCCTGTTCTTGTCAGGTTCCAGGCTGGGTCAGTCATGGATAGGGGCAGGGGACAGTGGGATAGGCCTGAGTCATACTTCCCAGAGCAGAAAGATCCTGAGATGGTGTTCCACTGTTGCATTAGGACTGGTTTAGCATATTGTGTAAATACTTTGAAATGGCACCAGAACAAATGTATTACTTGAGAGCCTTCTAAACACAGGGCATGACACAGTGGGCTGCCCTGTAGTCTGGCGGTCGAGGGAGCTAGATCTCCTATTGACAACCATGTGGTTCGAATGCAACCCTGGGAGCTTGAGAAACATGCCGAGCATGTGTGCGTGTGCGTGCACGTGTGCGTGCACGCCCCAGATCCTGACGGAATGGAGAAATGGAGATCGGAAAAGGGATTGCGGCAGGACCATGCCCTCCCCTGCGCTGTGCACACGGCAACTGGAAGCATCTGGGCACAACCTGGGAAACGTCAGCTGCCCAGATACGCGTCGCACACCGCGGCACACCCCTGGATAGCGAAGACACAGACACGCCCTTGCCTGAACTGTTCACTTTCCTCCCTCATTTGATCACACCTTTTTGGCTTGAGGCTAAGCACCAGTGAGAGAAACACGGGCTTGGTATCTGCAGCCTTTCTGAAGGCCGGAAGTGCCCGGCAGCGCTTATGAGGCCCTGTCATCACTCTGGCTCTGCGATGCGCCTGCTCTCTCAGTGACAGTAACGGCGAGGGTGGACGGAACAGCCACGGCCAAGACGACAGGGCTAACGCCGTTATCACCCGTTTTATCGACGAGGGTTTTGATGCCAAGTGAGTCTAAGAACTTGCCCAGGACCGTGTGCTTGGAGAGCGAGAGGGACCCAGGCACATGGCTCCAGGCTGTGCGGCCTCCACACCTGGAGTTAAGAAGACACCTCTTGGAGGTCATGGTGTCATGGAATCTCAGGGTTATGAAAAACCTCTTGAAAGCCATGGTGTTAAGTGTGGCAAGGCCAGCGTGGTTTAGGGGAGCAGCCGTGAACTTAGACACGTGTGGTCTTCACAGGTAGAGAACAGCGCAGCAGATCCGTGGCTGCTCTGTGGGCAAGTCAGCTTCAATCCTCACTGTCCTGTGTGTAAAACTTGGTACTGGGGACCAGCAGAAGTAGTGGTTACCCCACTGACCAAGGTTCAAGTCCTGGACCCAGTGGCTTGAAACATGTGGACGCATGTATGTGCATGCCCACAAGCCCAGGAGGAGAGTGGAGAAGAGACTGCAGCATGGCCATCCCCCGAGGGGGAGTTTCTTGCTTTCTGTCTCTCTGTATCTCCGGTGAGCCCACATGCCCTACAGCAAAAATTTCTAAAAACAAAACAGCACTTGGTACCAACCCTCACAGCATTGGCAGGAGGCCCACAGCTGGCAACAGCTCCATGCTCCAGCGTGGCTACCATGGCTCTTGACAAGCGCTGACATCCCGGACGCCGTGCCGTCAGAGGATGCTCTGCTCCTTTCTGCCCAGAGCGCCGCTTCTGCTGCAGGAGGTGCTGCTCTGTCTGAGCTGGCCACTCGTGCCGCCCCTGCTGGACAGCGGGAACCATGGCGTGGCTCCCCTCCGCTGGCAGGGGCGCCCTGTCTCCCCCTCCTCGTGCTGCCCTCCCAGGCAGGCCCTGCCTGTCCCGCGTGCTCTTCCCATCCCCTCGGAGGCCAAGACCTCTGCTAGTCTGCGGGTCTGCTTGCAGGCAGTGTGCGTGATCTGGCCCGAGTGCCGGTGGTGGCCAGCAGCCCTACGGAGGGCTGGCTCCTCCTCTGCTGCGTCTGACGGAGCCCTCAGGAAAGAGGCAGTTCACACAGGCCCAGAATTAACACACGTGCCTGGGCCGGCAGGTGGCGTGGTGGTTAAGGTGCTGGGCTCCCACATGGCTGACCGTGGTCTGAGTCCTGGACCTGGTGGCTTTCTCACTTTCTCTCTTGCTCTGTCCCTCTCTGGTCAAATTAATATAAATAAATAAATAAAGTAAGACAATTCTCTAAAAACAAAACAAAACAGAATTAACACAGAAGCCATGGGCAACCTTCTGGTATGAAACACGAGCGTGCCTCCTCCTGGGAGTGGCCCCATGGCAGGGCCAGCGTGTGGCCTTTCTGGGGGTGGGCGGGCTGGCGGGCGGGGTGCGTTCCTCACCTCACAGCCCCGTGTGCTGCTCACGGTGCCTGCGGCTATAGCCAGTGGGGCCTTGTTGCAGGAAAGCCCCGGGTGCCCCTGGGCAAGCCCGCGGCCAGGGCTCAGCCGCCTCAGAGACCATGTGCTGTCTGTGAGGATTGAGACGGGCACAGAGACCCTGGAGATGAGGACAGAGGGAGGCAGTGGACGCACCACCAGGCATGTGGTGGGCGGGGGGGATCTCTGGCCCTAAAATCAACCCTCCATGGCCGCTCACCTTGGCTCGACCCATGTATTCAACAAATTTATTGAGCACCTAACGTGTTCCTGGACCCGAATTCGACACACGAAAGATTCAGCAGCGAAAGAGGAGAGCCCTTGGTGCCAGCATGGACATCTCCGGGTCCAGGGCCGTTGAGGGAAGGGACACCCGCTCTCATTCTCACCCCCATGTCTCTGCGCCCATGCGCAGAGCAGGCCCAGGGTCTACCAGGATGCCCTGCCCGCCCTGCCTGCCCCGCCCCCCACGGCCTCCCGCAGTCCTGCAGTCCGCCGCACCTGCTGCTCCCCGCTGCTCACTCTCTCCTATGGGAGCCCAGGTCTGCTGACCTCCAACCGGAGGCAGGCCCGAACCTCCTCTGCCTGTCAGGACCCTGTGTGACCAGGCCTGCTCCTTGACTATGGCGATGGGACCGCGGGAGAACCCGAGGTCTGGAGGCTGAGCTGGAGAGTGGGGGACTCAGAGCTGGCTGCCTCTGAAGGACGGGAGCGTGGGTTTGGGTGACAGCTTCGTACTTGCCAGGTGCACCCCTTGCCCACGGCCCTGTCCAGGCCCTGCGGAGGGGTTACTCCCTTACAAAACGGGGTGACCTGAAGGAGAGGGCAGGGGGCATGGTCTGAGCAGCAGGGCGTCGAGTGGGGGTGGTGGGGACCACAGGCCGCGCTCTAGCAGTAGGCCCTGCCGTCGATACGCTTCTTCTCAAACTTTTGCTTGAGCTCAGAGATCAGAGTCGACGGGATGGGGCTGCCCAAGGCCTTGGGTTTTGGGGGCTCTTGGGGCTTCTTGGGGGTGAGGGACCCGGAGACGGTGGGCACAGTCCAGTGGGCCGCACTCACGTTGGGCGCCACCCTGGGGGGCGGTGGAGGGAGAGCTGGGGCCCGGGGGGGCAGCGAGCCTCCCATGCTGTTGTTGTTGCAGTTCTCGTTGGGAGGGTCCTCTGTGAGCTCAGACTCGGCCGCCTTGGCCCTCCTGACCTTGAGCCACTCCACGCCGGCAGAGCGGGGCTCGGGCGGGGGCCCCCTGCGCAGCACCCGCCGCACGGGCAGGACTTTGTTGGACTTCTTGTTGCGCCAGAAGGTGGCGGTGGAGATGAGGACCGTTACAGCCACAATGACGGCGGTGAGGCCCGTGAGCACCCCCACGGCCTTCAAGGGGTTGTCCTTGGTCTGGATCAGGAAGGCAGCCATGGGGCCTCGGGACAGCGTCTGCAAAAGAGAGCCGGCCCTGGTGTCCAGCTGGTCCCCTCCTGGTCCCTGGATGACACAACAGGTGTCTGAGCTTCCTCCGCCCTGATGTGTCTTAAACTTTCTGGAGAGAGGCACCCCTTTGCAGATGTGGTAAGAGGGTGGGCTTCTGTCCAGGAGAAATGCTACAGAGAGAACGGGATGCATGCAGCTCCCCAGGAAACTGCACGGACAGCAGGTGCAAACCGTCCAGTGTAATGTACTCCCAAAGAGCAGGCTGCAGTCTGCCACTTGGAACGCCCACCTCACTGGCCTCTCTTCCTGAGAGAGTCGGGCATTGCTTCTGTGTGGGAGGCCCGTCCGCCGAAAGGCAGCAGAAACAGCGTAAGTGATGACCCCTGCCAGACACCAGCTGATGCCTGATGGCTTTGCTCCTGCCTTTCGACACCCATGCGAAGGGGACACTATTCCATTTTACAAGACAGGTCATGGAAGCTTAGCAAGGCCCAGAGCCACCCCAGTTGGTATGACATCTAGAATTGCAACCCCCCAAAGTCTGTGCACTTGATGACCCCGTCTGCCTTTGGGAGCCTCGTGTGTTCTCGAGGGCAGCCTGGAGGAGGCCACGGCCCTGTCTGCAATGCAGAGGCCTGAGCTGGCCCTCTGGCCCCTTCCCCGCCCGGGGCTGCTCACCCACCTCGGTGTCTGTGATGTCGATTCTGAGCAAGGCCGTGGTGCTGAAGGACGGGGAGCCGCGGTCCTTGGCCTGCACCTCCAGGGACCACGTGCAGCCCCCACTGGGCGTGATGTTGTACAGGGCATCCAGCGAGCGGATGGAGTGCTTCAGCCGGATCTCCCCGGTGTGCGCATCGATGTCGAACACGTTGGCCGGCTCCGCGTGGGTGATGGAGTAGTCCACCAGGTTGTTGGGCTCCTCCGCGTCCTGGTCTATGGCCTATGCACAGGACGGGTGGACCTGGCTCGGGCGCTCCCCGCACAGGGGCTTCGGCAGGCGCCCTAGGCCACTCGCCGGGCCTCTGGGACTGGTCTTGACGTTGTCTTCTTAAAGAATTATCTATTTTACTTATTAGTATTATTACTTTTAATTTGCTATAGGGTATGTGCGCTCACCAGAGAGAGAGAGAGACAGACAGGAAAATGAGAAAGCAAGCCCCCTGCGGTCAGCCATGTGGGAGTCCAGTGACTGAACCATACCACCCGCTGGCCCCCGATCCTGTTCTGAGTGAGCCAAGTTGGGAAAGGGGTAGGACGTATTCAGGCCAGGCTCGCTCTGGGCCCGTGTGCTCCATCGTTTCAGCCTCACAACGACTGAGGAAGCAAGTCCCGGTAAATCTGGGCTATGACAGACACACGAGCCAGGTGCCCGGACACGGCCGGAGAACACAGAGGCAGAGGAAGGCGGCTGGCTGGGAGCCAAGTCTGGGGTGTCAGGGCGTGGCTCGGGGGCGGGATGTGCCGTGGGAGAGCCTTGTTGAGGCGGGCAGTTGGCCAGGGCCCGCGCAGGCTGAACACGCGCGTGGTGAGCCCAGCTTTCTCCTTGTAGTCATTGGATAAAGTCTTTCCTCGCGGCAGGGAGCTGGGGGGTCGATGCGGGGTGGGCGGGGGCATGTGCCCTCCTCCATATGGGCGTCCAGGACACGTTATTTTACACCCAGCTCCACCCCAGTGTCTCGGGCGGCCGCTGGATCCAGGCGTCAGGGAACCTGGGCTGCCTGAAAACTCACCTGGATCTTCACCGAGGTCCCCAGCACCATCGTGGTCTCCTGGACGCTCTGTCCGAACTGGGGGCGGTGGTCATTGATGTCCAGCAGCGTGATGAACACCTCGGCCAGGCTGAACTTGCCCTCCATGTCCTCCGCCTTCACGTAGAAGTTGTACCTGGACGTCGCCTCGGCGTCCAGGCTGGCCCAGGGCTGGGTATAGATGAGCCCCGTGGACGGGTGGATCAGGAACCTGCCAGCACAGGCGCGGGTGTGCACGTGCACATGCAGGCGTGTGCCCACACATGCATGCACACACTCACAAGCACATGTGCACACACACACACCCATGCACGCACACATGGCTGATAACAAGTCGCCTCCAGGAGGCAGCAGCGGGGCACCCTGGGCTTCCCCAGCACCCTCTCGCCACCGTGTGGTGTGACAGGGAGGAGGAGCCACCACTGCTCAGCCATCTGTCCCTGCTGAGCTCAGCCCACATCACGGCCCCTCTCTCCTCCTTGGAGAGGGCCCGCCTCTCTAGCCCTGAGGACACGGGCCCTACCTCCAGGCCCTGGCGGTGACTTTTGCTCTCCAGCTGCCCCTACCTTGGTCTCTCCTCTGCTTCCCTTTACTCCTTGCCAACACGTTCGCCTCCCCAACCCAGGCTCCCACCCCTCCCAGTTTCCCTCTGCCTTTGGCATAGGCCCCCCCTGCCTGCATCTTCTCCCTGAATCCTGTCTGGGGTGCTGATCTACTCACAGGTCCGCCCCAGTCCCGTAGATGGAGTATCTGACCTCACCCCAGGGTCCTGTGTCTGGATCCATAGCCTGGAAGAGAGGACGCCGCCGGTGGCACCCACTGTCAGGGCACGTGGGCAGCTCCCGGGTCTGAGGGCTGCTTTTCATAGCAAAGTAAAGGGACCTGGGTTTGCTCAACGGGCAGAACCGGATCTGGTGGCCTGCCCTGGCACCCTGGGCCTCCTCCAAGGAGGTCTCAAGTGTTGGGGGAACTGAAGGTTAGCCTGGAATGCTTTCACTCAGCTCTTCTAACTGAGGAAGAAAAGGGGGTGGCCCGTGGCCCGTGCTCGGGCTCACACTAACGTCCTCGGCACGGCCCTGCGAGGTGTCGTGCAGATGAAGAGACTGAAGTGGGGGGAGGGCTAGCGGCTTGTCCAAGGACAGCGAAGGACATGAGCTCTGCAGTTCCAGCTCTGCGTACCTCTACAGGGCCTCTTGCCCCCGTCCGGGGCCAGTCCCCAACCCACCGTGACAGCCACCACGCTGGAGCCTCCTGGCGCATTCTCGGGGATCTTGGCAAAGTAGTGGTGGGAGGTGAACTTGGGGACATTGTCATTGGTGTCCAGGAGCTGGATGATGACATCTGCCGTAGAGCTGAACTTCTCTGGGGTGCTCACTTCAATGGCCAGGAGCTGGGAAGGAGGGAAATCGAGGACTGCTTGAGTCGGCCATCGCCCTGCAGAGGGCCTGCCATCTCCTGCCTCCCAGAACCGGCCCACACCCACCTGCCTCGAGCTCACACTCTTGGCAACGACCAGCTGCCGCTGCCACTGTCACAAGGGCCCCCCGAGGCCTCGCATCATTGCCCCCGGCTCACAGTGGCAGTGTCCCTGTCACTCTCACTGCACTGGGGCCAGTGTCTACTGTCCCCTCATCGGCTTGTCCCTTTCTGCTTCGTGTTCTGAGTCATTCTGTGCCTTTCTCCAGATAAACAGCAGGCCTAGGCTTCTCACCGCCTCTCCAGGGAAATTCTAGCGAGGGTTCACTGGCTCTGGCCGAATTCTTTCTTAGCATAATGTCATCAGCATGTGAGAAAATATGAAAACATCTACCTTGGTCATCAGATAGTTTCTCTGTGTGTCTCTCTTTTTTTATTTGCCAGAAGATGAGCATGAATGCCAGAGAGAAGCACAGAGAGGGAAAAACATCCCCCTGTGGCTTCGCCACACCGCAATCCCATCTCCTCCATTTCCCCTTTCAGGATTTTGGGTGTGCATGCACCCACACCCAGCATGTTTCTCAAACTACTGGGACCAGGACTTGAACCACACAGCTGGCTAAGTGAGATCCAGCTGCCGTAACCACCAGGCCACACGCTGGCCCAGCTCCTGCTAACACGGCAAACTATACCGAACGTGTTCCTTTGACCCCTGCGGGTCTTCTTGGGTAGTTGTGATCTAGACTCCCCCACTGCCCATGCCAGCAGCAGGGGCGGAGTGTGGGGGAGTGACAAGGGACCCCAGGAATGAGCAGATGCTGGCGTGAACTCCTGGGACCCTCCCCGCCGCCCGCCCCAGGGCGGCACGAAGCTCCCCCCACCTTGAATGTTAGCACTTGGAACTTCTCAAAGTCAATGGCGGCCGAGTTCTCCACGATGACCGTGACCTGGGCTTCATTCAGCACTGTCTGCGGAACCACGCGGAAGACGCCCCCGGCACCCACCAGCTGCAAGTTGAATTTGGCGTTGGCTCCCTGGGCCGAGTTTGGAGAGAGGAAACAAAAAGAGATGAGAATAGACGCATAGGGCCTTCCTGTGCCTCCCCCAGGGCACAGCCTCGCTTCTCTCTGGAGGTGAGCTGATCCAGGGGCAGGTTACGAGGTCCGGCACGGTGGCAGGGCCCACCCTGCGTGGGGGAGCTGGGAGAGCTGGGAGCGCGGTCGACGCAGTGCCCAGCTGGTGGGTCAGGTCAACTCTGCCCATCGGGCCCCTATCGCTGACGGACTGGGAATGCCTCCACCCCTTGTGTTACACGGTTACACAGTACGGGTTACACGTGGTAAAATGTTACATGGACACAGTTACACACTCTCCTTTCGTCCATTTGCGACCTGCCTGGCCCCGCGGCAGCAGTGGAAGTTGACACAGAGGGACCCCAGGGAGGCCGACGGGGCAGGACGCGCACCTGGTCGGAGTCATTGACGGTGATCCTAAGGCCCCGCAGGATCTCCCCCTGGGGCGGGTGCTCCTCCATGGAGAGCTCGAACCTGTTCTGGGGCCCACTCTCTCCGTAGAATGTGGGCGGATGGTTGTTGAGGTCCACGATCCTGATGGTGACTGGGACCACAGCCTGGGCAGCTGGGCCGACGGCAGAGCTGACCTCGGTCACCTGGGTGGGGACGGGGCGAGGGTGGTACGGCAGGCAGACTCCTGCTGGCCCTGAAGACCCTCCCTCCTGGAACTCATGCGACCTGCTCCTAAACTAGAGCGTGGCAGAGACAGAGAGCTCTCCCTCCATTAGATGCCAAAGACTAACTCTCATCTTGCTGCAAGACTCTCCCTTGCTGGCTGTACCCGGAGGGGCCGTGTGCTCACTGAGAGAGGTAAACAGAGAGCCTAGGCACTCTCACCCGTGCGCGTGGTCACACCGCAATCCCAGCTCCTCCACTTCCCCATCCTGTTGGGATTTGGGGCATGCCTGGCATGTGTTTCCGGCCACCAGGGCTGGGACTCAAACTGCAGCCAGCCATGTGGGATTTGGTTCCCTTGACCCCTAGGCTAGGGGCCAGCCCTCGCGTGCTGGCTTAGACGAAGCAGCTACACTGAAGGGGCCCATGTGACAAGGAATGATGGCGCCCTCTAGCCAACACCAACAAGAAGGCTCTGAGCCCAGTGGCCCACCTGGGACTGTGTCCCAATACCTGTGTGCTTTGAGGACAGAATTCTGACCACTCTT